AGCTGCTTTTTCCTGCTTAGACCTTCTAAAGTTAGCTGATCAATAGTATAAAGAAGTGGTGCAGGGAGTTTCAGACACATCGTGGTACCTGTTGTAATCAGTGGATTCCCAGCTTCACTAAAATGGAAATAATGTTGTGTGTCTGTAGCTGGACTTGGTGTTTCTGGAAGAGAGCTGGAGAACAGGGTATGTGGTAAGACTTGGGTCCATGGCCTCGTGCTGGGCACCAGGGTGGGAAATCAGAGTGGGCTCTAGCAGGGTCATCCCAGAGCACGTGGCATGGGATTGTGTCCAGACAGTTCTTGAATATCTCCAGTGAGGGAGACTCCGCAGCCTCTCTGGGCAACCTGTTCCAGTGCACGGTCACTGCACAGTAAAGAAGTTCTTCCTCATGTTCAGGTGGAACTCCCTGGGCTTCAGTTTCTACCTGGTGCCTCCTGTCCCACTGCTTGGCACCGCTGAGCAAAGCCTGGTGCATCCTCTTGTCCCTTCAGACATTGATGATGTCCCCCCTCAAGGCTGAACAGGCCCAGCTCTCTCAGCCTTTCCTCATGAGAGAGATGCTCCAGTCCCTAAATCATCTTTGTTGCTCTCTGCTGGACCCCCTCCAGGAGCTCCACGTCTCTCTTGTCCTGAGGAGCCCAGAACTGGACACAGCACTCCAGGTGGAGCCTCACTAGGGCTGAGTAGAGTGGCAGAATCACCTCCCTTGACTTAAGGTAAAGATCATTCATCAAAAGATGTAAAAAGCCTTGATGTGAAAGTTCATTCCTCAGCTCCCATGTGGAGGGAGATCTTAAGGTAAGAAAATCCTGAAGGAGGAACTTTTTACAGAGATGAACATTCAGGTAGTGTATAGAAAAAGGTGTATGCACTGGGCTTGTGCTTACAGCTTGTTTGTAAACATTGCAGTTTGTTTAATCCATAGCATTGGTAGCGTTCGGTTTTCTCTCCCCATGAGGCTGACACACACGTGGCGTTCTGTTATCGTGGGACGGGGACCTGCCTGTGGAATCTCCTTGGGTGCTTCAGGGATGTCACCCAACCTCACTCTGGGCAGTCTGTTCCCAGAAGCTGATGCTGATGCCCAGCACCCTGCAGAAGCGATGGCAGCTGGGGGACCACCTGTGGAGGAGGGCACTGGCCACGGCTCACCGGGCAAACACGCAGAACTGCAGCAGCACACTGTCCCCTGACCCTAATGCACAGTATACAGATACTTGCTGCTGGCAATAAGGGCGTGTGGACTCGCTGTTTTTTGAGGAAGATGGCTAGTATAGAAAACTTGGAAAATTACAAGCTCTTCTCTTGGCTACTTGAGCATCCCAGTGTGCTTTCTAGGCGAGACCCTGCCAGGTGCCTGCAGCAACCCTCTGGGGGAGAAAGGTCTCCCATCTTTTTTTACTGATACAAGCAAGAAACTTGTACATTAGAAACAACAATTTTAAGTGTTGTTGACATTTACACTGAAGGTCTTTTCCACTCCTTCACATAAAAAGGGCTAGAATCGGGATTTAGGCTTGTTCTCACTGTGTGGTCACTGCCTGCCTGATTTCTAACTTTTTACTTTTTCCAAATGTCTGAAAATTTCGGGGTCAACCTGAAGTCAAGATGTACTTGGGTTCAGAGAAATCATGCAGTCCTGAGCTGGCTTTTGAATCTTCTGATGATATAAGGCAAAGTTGATAGAATATGTCAAGATAACTCAGGATTCTTAGATAAATGCAGTCAACTCCTCTAGATGGGAGGAAAAATGTGCAGAGGCTTCTTTGTTTTTATAGTAATAGTGTATGCATAGTGGCTGATAGATGAATGGGGTTAAATAATCTCCCACACTCCCCAGTGAGCTAAATTCTCCATGACAAGAAAATAATAAACAAGCTATGGCTGCAGAAAACTTCAGTAGATTGCTTGCCATAGTGATGTGTTCATTATTTAATAATGAGAGAAAGTGAGGGTGAAAATGCAGGATATTGACGTTCATTTCCATTAGTTTGTCATTAAAGTGTACCAGACATATGTGAAAAACACAGAAGTCAAGAGGGCTGTCCAAAGATGAGACCTTTTGCAGAGGGCTCCCTGTCTAAGAGCCAAAGACCTTATTCTGTTCCTAGTTATGTCATTTACTTGCCTCACGTACTTCAGCAAGTTTGATTCCCTCAGAGGATAAAGATTTTCGCTGCTTTCAAAAATGAGAACAGGTGGAGGACCTGAAAATGTGAATTCAGGAATAGGCATGTGTGTTCACATGTGTGTGTGTGTGTGTGTTTATGTACTACCTTAGAGCCTTTGACTTGCAGGAGCTGTATAAAAGCCACATATTTTTACTGTTGGAATGAGTTCTGTTGGAATGAGTTCTAGAAGCTCCTTCAGGAGGAGGTCTTGTCTTTCCATCCTGGTGCCAGAGGCAAGGGGCCAAGTGCAAATACCCACCTTAGCAGCAGTGCAGTGAACATCTTCTAGTAAAGTTCCTGCTCTTGGCCCCAGTGAGGGGGCTAGACTAGACGAACTCGGTGCCACGTTCATTCCTGCTGCGAGCGGGCACTTGGCAGTGAGGTACTTCTATTGAGCTTCATCCAGCAGTTTTGAATGATAACACTGTGATTTGTGCAGCTTCCAAACCTTTTGGATGCCATGGGTTGTTGGACTGTGGGGGCTGCTGAAGGGATGTCTCCTGTTGGGCCGTTCATAATCTGTGCTGAGTGCTCTATATTGCTGTTCGCTCTGTTTTGCTCTTTCCTCTCTGGATGATGGGAATGGGAAGCGTCTCTGTTCCAAATACTGCCATAGCCACTCCTAAAGGAGTTGTATTTGATTCCTGAGCGTTCACTATGAAGGCATTACTAATTAGCTGGCAAGATGAGGAAACCCGAATTATGTGAGTGCATTACTCAGCTGTATTATTTTAATGTGCTTTTTAAAATAGTCTATCGGATGGTCTCCAAGTAGTGCAGGGTGTGACTTGTGGGTGGTAGAGCAAACCTGGCATAACAAAGGCTTTGGTGATGGGAGGTTGCAGCCCTTGGCATGCAAAGCTTTGATCTCTTTTCTGAGACTGTGGGAAAACAAGGGCAGTAACACATACTGTCCAGTAAGAGTCAGTGTATGAGACAGGCCAAGGAGAGGGCTGTGGCATGGTGCCATTAGAGGTCACAGCAACCTCTATGTGGCAGATTTAGGGAAATAGCATTCCTGTTGGAGACAGGGAGCCTGCTGCCTATGCATCAAAAGAAATTCCTCACGTGGAGGAAAATTAAACAACACCACTATTTTGTTATCAAAGTAACTTGCTCTTACCCTTATAAATTGCCTCTTCCCTTACTCCACTCCAGAATATGATCTTCTGAAAGTAATCCCGCTTTTCAGCTTGTAATGGTTGGCAGAGCCCGTCACTGATACCGTGTCAAAAACTTCCCCAGATCTCAAAGTAACTGTCAGAGTTTTCTATTTCTCACCTTCGTTTGTCTGCCTTTTGTGTCTCACCAGCTTGTTGTCAGGTTCAGAACTGTTTGGCCCGTGGGCTGCCTCGAGCTGCTGTGTTGGTCCCACACAGTCCCAGTCCTGTAGTTTCTGTGGAGGGATGCAGTAAATAAGAGCAGAACTCTTTACTTGAAAGAGTCTCCCCAAACTGTGCCCATTGCAGTAAGTGCGTGCCCATCAGAAAAGCTATTTAAGTTCAATGTAAAAAATCACTTGATGTCAGTCTTCTTAATGTTCCTGGTGCCATTTTTAATCTTTTGTAAAGGAATGAGACTTATTTATTCGTTTCAATTGATTGTTTCCTAAGAACTTGTGGACTAGTTGGCTGATATGTTTAAGGGAAGGACATGATAGATATTTACAATCTCCCAAGCCAAGTGGAAGGCCATCAATTCTTCACAATCTTTTCCCCTGTAAATGAAGCTCAGAGAAGCCAATTCAGTATTGGGAAAGGGAAGTGATTGGAACTCTGTGTGGATCGAGGAGAATTCTGAGCTCATGGAAGAGAAATCACTGAGGGTTGCCAGATATAAGGGAGCTATACCTGACATGCAAAATCCCTGAATTGAAAACATTTAAATGGTAGAAGAGGATTTCAGGGAAATGTTATATCTGTTTGCTTTGGGTTTGTGCTTCTCTTAGGCATCTGCTTAAGTCCACAGTTAGAGTCAGGATTTGGAAGCAGATGGACTTTTTTTCAGACATTCTGAAGTTGCTGGTGCATTTGTAAATCCAGACTAGCCAGAGCATTGCTGCTTTTTGGCCCTGGACGGGTCATGGTAAAGGAGTTTGGACCTTTTTGGGGGAGAGAGGTGGTAAAGTTAGGGAAAAATGACAAAATATAGAGGGAAGCAGACTCAAAAATTTCCATAGCTGATAGAATTATTGTTGTGTAATGATTGTGCTACTGCAGTTTAATGCATTGAATTTGTGTGTGTGTCTGTGCTTGCATATCTTACACCATCTGGTTGCTGCAGCATTCACTGAGTATCTGCAGGCTGTGGTTCCATGGGCATCTCTTTAAGCAATTATGGTGGTTTAATTGAAGAAAGACTGAGAAACTGAACCTAAACCAAAAGTAACCCAGGAGAATAAAAAGCATCAGTTTTAACTTGGTTCTGTTCCTGCATCCAATTCGCCACTCAGCTGCATAAAAGCCTGTCTGAAGGCAAGCACTGACGGTGATACTGGCCTTTCCATGTCTGAAGTGTTTGTTAAACTGCCATCTCAGGGAGGTGGGTATGAAATCACTGCTATAAACTGTACTGTGCTTGTTCCCTGTCACACTCTCCATACAAGGCAGTGGCACACTGCACCAGAATTTGGCACATTACATGCCTTTACAGCCCATGTGTGAAGGTCATTGTCTTGAGAAAATAGGAATATGCAAGTGTTTATTCCTAATGAGAACCTTATTTCATTTCCTCTGAGTAACTGCTTCAGATGCATTACGTCACTTTGGTTTTCATTTTCATTAGAAGTGAGAACTTGTTCCTAATGTTCTCTTCCTTTCTCCCCAGATAATCTGATCAAAGCCATCCTGTCAGCAACCAAAGATTACCGTCTAACTCCAGCTCTTGACAGGTAAGAGGAGACCTTTTAGAATAGAAGGAGTAGAAGTCACTCTTTTCCATGTGTCCTACATAAATTTTGTTAGACATTTTTGCCAGATACTTTTGCCAGTAAATTTGGCCATGTTTTGTAGGTAGATCAGGAGCTGGAAACTGAGTCCTCTTTCCAGTAAGTCTCTAAATGCTGGAGACCTCTGCTCAGTCAAACATAAGTAGCAGAAAGCTTTTGACTGTTTCCTAATCTTTTGTTTCATATATTGTTACAAGACATGCTCATTCCCCTTTTTCAAATAAGTAAATAGCAGATTTTCAATAAACACATTGTAGTTTTCCAGCCTTTCTGACAAAACAACACGATCACAAGAAACTCTTAGAGGGAAAGAAGGGACTGGCTCATTTCAACAATATTTTTCACTGATACCCCACTCGTAAAGCAGGAATGTGGGGTTGTGTTGGCCAAGCCTGTGCTGGGGCCCTGTGGTACTTGAATTCAACCTTTTAGAAGAAGCTTCTTTGATTCTTCAGTCCTATTGTAGAGGTTGCTTCTGAAACTCAATGGCATGTTTACAATCCAGCTTTCAAGTGATAGTCCTTTAGTCTTTGCTGTCCTTGCTTTTCTGTCATTCTGTCCCTTTGCCCCGGAGTTTTGGTTTAGTGTCACCTCCTGGATTAGGTGCATTTTTTTTCAGAAGCTGTCAGAGGTTTTTCCTGGAACATGAGCTCTTTTCAAAGTCCTGGTACTCCTTCTTTCCAGTGGTACTTGAACCTGGGCTAACAACACAGTTCCTGCTTTCTAAACACACTGGGCTTGTTTCCTGGCCCAGCTCCCCCCTCTGCCCACTTTTCCATGACAAAGCTCGTAAGCTTTTCCAGCCTTTCCGTAGGTCACCTCATCTCTCCTGTCGATTGCAGAGCTTGCCTGCTGTAGTTAGAGTTGGGAGCTACTTTCTATGTGAAAGTTTATTCTTAGTCATTCACAGTCTATGTGCTAATTTAGGTTTCTTTGAAGTTTGCCTTGCCTCACAGCAGTGCCGGGCAGGGTTAGCCTTCAGACTTCGGATTAATTTGAGAAATTATGTCCAGAAGGCAAAAATCATTTCACAAATGACCTTCTTAGAGATTTTGCACACAACTGAGTCTCATCCATCTGGGGTTTATCTCAGCTCTGGTTGGAGAGTTAAGATTTTAATCTGTTGAAAAATCCACATATAGACTCTTTCAGAAGGTTGCTCATGGGAAATTAGTGTTAATGACAGAGGGCAGGTGGAAGATTGTTGCAGTGAAGGTTAATGTAATTGTGACCCTTGCTGCTCACCTGTTTTTTGAGGAGTAGAATGTTTCAGGTTTTCTAAAAGTAATTTCTCAGGAGGCTGTGAAACACAACCACTCCAACATGAGCTGCTCACTTTGGTTAGTGTTCTTTAGAATGGTTTAGTGCAGAGATAGGAAAGACCTAACACTCAAGCCACATGAAATGTATGCAAAGTCCCTGAGACACCAAACACAAATGAGAGCTGGGGAACAGGCTGGACATGTATTGCTGTGGTATTGCAGTAACAAAGTTTGGTGGTGTGTAAACACACTTATCTCGAGGAAGTTCTCTGTTCCTGGGAATTGTTGTGATAGAGGCCAATCAGTGGATGTTGGTTGTGTAGTACTTCACTGTCAAATGCCTCCCAAAGCCCTTCCAAGTGAGCAGTTCTTAGGAAAGTTAAAAATTGAATTGTATATGAGAGACAGGCTTGGGATAGCAAACCACAAAGTGAGAGCCCAAAGGAGCGTGCAGCAGAGGGATTATTAGAGAGAGAGCTTGGGTACTGTAGGGGGTGTTAAGGCTGCCACAGTGCTACCCTGGGAAACCTGCTTGGTGAGTAGGGCATGGATGAAGACTTGGGTATGGTTCCAGAAATGTTCCTCACTGTGGTTCTCCACGAATTCCAGCACTGGCTGCAATGGGCATCTGCCATTTTGGATTCCAGAAGAGCTGACAGAGCAGACTGGTGAAGGAAGGTTAGATGAGGACATCTTGTCTCAAGCTCAAAGCACAGCCCAACAGTTCCTCTCTGTGACAGCTCCGGTGTGGTGGGAGCAGAGCCTTGAGGTTTGATTCCCCCCCTTACTGCTCACTGGTCAGTGCTAAAGGCGAGACCTCTCTCTCTCCTTTGCTCACCACCTTGGAGCAACTGGAGAGGGCCTGACTTAAGGGACCTTGAAAGGTCCCTTCCAGCCCAAACAAACCATTCTTGGTTCTGTGATCAAGGGCTGAAAAAATGCTTTGTTGGGGAAGCGTTAGGTAAGAGACACGGCTCAAATCTGTAAGGAAAAAGGGCTTCAGACTTGGGAGATCTTGTGAACCCTTCCACTTGTAGGCTCTCAGAAGTCTAGTGCGCTGATTTTAGAAGCAGGGAAAAAGGCTGCAGGTTCACCCTCTCTTCAAGATGGGATCACACCAACATTTTCCCTGTTGGCAAAGCCAGTCTGAGAATCCAATCCTGCCCTTCTCCTTGTGCTGCTGCCATGGTTCGGAAAGGGACTTTAAAGTGGGTCAGTAAAAAGATTCCAGTTTACGACTTTTTTCTTTTAACCCAGGTCATTCCAGTGGCCTCATTTCCACAGAGATGAGTTCCGGAGCTGTGTGGGCACAGAGCTGTAACGGCAGAAGGAGAGGCAGAGGGCTGGGGTGGGTGGGGAGGGTGAGCGCTGCCCAGCCCTCTGGAACAAATGTTCCTGTAACTATAGGCTTGAAGGCAGCTCTCCCAGGGGGAAGGGTGGGAGAGGCAGGAAAGGTGAGGTCAGAGCAGTGCGTGAGAGCACTGGAAGGAAAGAGAGGATTAGAGTTGTGTGGTGGAGGATCTACACCGAGCCTTTGGTCTCGTCCCTACCCAGGCTTCACCGTTTCTGTCCTCCTTCACGAAGCTGGTCCTTGAGATGTTACGTTCACTTGCCTCTCATAAGCCCTGGAAATGAATTTGTTTGTTTGATTGTCTCTGTGACAAAGGGCATCCTGATGCACCTTTCCTGACACGGTGTACTGACACGGTGCTGAAATGAGGCAAACGTGATCCTTCCGGGTGGTGCGTACACCTTTCATCATCCCACGGCAGCTTTGCCAGCTCACTTCAACTAATCCCTGCATTGTGTTATAACTAGCAACAGCTGGAGGGCATGTGCACAAAGGCTATAGTTCACACCTGTAACACAGTGTAAGTGGTGCCCTGCTTTCTTAGCTCTCTTCATGACTCCTTACTGTGGCACCTTTGTGTTGAACAGTAACCTGCTTCTGCTTCAGGACAGGAGGCAGGAAAAGCTGCAGTGGTGTTTGGGAGGGTAGTTACAAGCCAGCTCTGAGCTTTTCTGAAGAAGATTGGAGGTGCAGGGGACTTCCTTTGGAATCTCTGACCTCTTCCTTCGGAGCTGCCGTGTCTTTCTCCGTAGTACAGATGTTGGTGGGCCTCATCTTTGACACTTCATAGTTCTCCTGCCCTCCACTGACTTTTCCAAGCCCATATATATTGTTGACATTTTCACTGCTTCCTTTAGTGGCTCATCCAGTGGCCTGTCCCTCATTCTGCAAATGGGTCAGGGCTTGGTTTCTAGTTCCACAGCCCTTCTGCTGGCTGGACTTCAAGGGATTCGGGGGTTAAATCTCTCTGGTGATGACATGTAGATTTCCTATGAAAAGTCATAAATATAAAAACCTAACTGACCTTTTTGTATTGCCTCCAGGTGGTAATGAAGGAAAACTGAGAGTCTGAGCTTATGACTAACACAGTCTTTACTAATGCAGGATATAAACTGAGCAAGTCAGAAAGGAATTTGATAAAACAGGAGAGATGTGTCCCCCTCTGGCTCGGGTTGATAGCACCCACTTAAATAGCAGCAGCCAGTTCAAACCAGAATATGCTAAGCCTCCCTAAGCACCAGTTACCCTAAAGATGTTTTTTAATTATTCTGTTATATCTTTCCTCAAAGCCTTCAGTTCCAAAGTTGCGTAAAGGAAGGCTTTGTGGTTTCTCTCCCCTGACAAATCCCCTAAAGTGCTTTGATAAGGGAGGAAGAGGAAGTATGATTCTGTGAATTGCTACAACGCAAACACGTGTTTACAGTGCTATATTGTTCAAGGAAATCTGCGTGAATCCTGGTTTTGGTGTAGATGAACTCAACCTTGGAGTATCTGTGTCAAAGAGTCTGTACATCTGGCCGCAGCTCCCAGCTCGGGGCTCTAGGGAAAGTCTGTCTGTGGAAAGTCCGTGACCCTCCTTCATACCACCCTGGTAGCAAACTGGAACCTGGGCTGTGTCCCCTGTGTTCAGTCCCTGAGCCCTCCTGGAAAAGAAATAGAGCTTTGATGTACTTTGTAAACAAACATTAAGGTGTTTGCACACTTCTTTGTGGAGAAACAATTGAGCTGTAACTGATGCTGCTTGCACGGTGTGTTTCTTCAGCCAGAAGCTTGCCTGGAGCCAGCAGTGACTGTGTAGGTTTCCCATGCTCAAGCCCCATCAGTGGAGAGAGTTTGAAAGAAATTTAAGCTGCTAGAAGATCAAAGATTAGACCTTAGGGTCAGAAAGATACTGATGAAAAATCTTATCTGCAGACATAGGGAAAAAGGAGAACACATTTAAATGTGTCAGGACCACAAGGGTATGAGGGTGGCTCAGGCACGAGGCTGGGCAAAGGTGATTAACCTATCAGTTATGAAGAGTAAAAGCAGAACCATTCACTTAAGCACTTGTTTCATTTTTGGGGATAAAAATAGAATGATGTTGTCCCATTTTAGAGTAACAAATACTTTGTGTATTTTTTATTAGTAACTGCAAGGATATAAAATGACAATTATATGTCTTTCAAGGTAAGCACTGAAGAGTGTTTAAAGATTTTTTAGTTTGTAGTGCTGTTTTCCTTTTAACCCTTCTGGGAATGTTTGATAGAACAGCAAATGTTGTGCCACTTTTGGAAAATATGGGAGACGATAAAATGATGGCTGTAAGTTGATTAGCTTGGTTTTGCAGGAAAAATCCTGGAAAGTTAGATCTGGGACAGAGCTTGAATGACAGCATAACTGATGTGAGTTGCTTTGGGTTTGTGGAACTGAAATCTTGCCATGTAGAGGATATATTTTTTAGGTGAACTAGAACCTTAAATGATAAAGGTAACCTTTTTGAGACAGGCATTAGTTATTAGTCTCAGTCTCCATTATATGCTGATTCTACACTACACCATTTAGATATATCCTTTTTAGGAATGGGACAGTCACATAGCTTTAGAAAGTTACTATCAGGGTTGAGAATTAATCCTTTAGTGACACTTCTGTTGTAGTCCTGCTGGCAAGTATTTGCAGGGGCTAAAACCAATCTGGAGTAAATGTAAAATTACACTAGAAAAATTTGCCAGAACCAAAGACTGGGAAAGTAAGGAGTAGCAGGGCCATGTCAGTCTTGACCTTTGCACGGGATCCTTCTCTGAACAGTGCTGTACTGGAGCCAAATTAAAAATCAGACATCACAGGGGTGACAACACAGATGATGTGTACAAGAGGAGGATTATATTCTGCAAACCAGTAACTATAAAAAGATGATTGGAATGATGTACGTAGAGTCTCTCTGTAAAAGGGACTCTGCTTTGAGCAGCACAAGCTCCACGTGCTGGTCTTCCAGATTCAATGCTTCAGAGATCTGGGGAGAAGTTGAAAATTGTTCAGAGAGGTACCCCAAGTGTGAATCAAGACCTAGGAGAGCTGCCATACTGTGCAAAATGTGATGAGCTTGCTCCAGTTGGTATGGCCAGTGGAAGATTAAAAATGGGCTTTGATCGATCCACAGGTACTGTGTGGGAGCAGGGCCATGAAAAGCTGCTGGAGCAGCTTTGGCTGGTGGAACTGGTTCTTTTACCTCATGTGTGGCAGTTCATGCCCTCCAGCCTGACCCACGAGGGGCAAATGTTTATATGCGTGCAGATGTGGAAGGGACTACTGACAGTAGATGGTGCTTTAATTTAGCAGAAGAGCAAAGACTGTGATTAAGTGGTTTGAGGCTGGAACAAGCAGATCTGTATTCAAAATTGGTAAGAGCTGCCATCCTAACACAAGTGGGAGGAGGATAGAGGGGAGTCTCCGTAGCTTGCAGCCTTTGGATTTTGGCATGGTATCCTTCTTCAGAAGAGAAAATTAAGAAAAGTCATGGCTGAGAGACAACTGAGTAGAGAAATTACAGTATTTCACCTGGCAGTCTGCTGTTGAGGAGGTCAAACTTAATCATAAGAGTGTATTTCCATCTGAAATGTCACTTGGCCAGAACTGTCTATTTTTCCCTTCTTTTCCTTAAAGATAATGACAAAGCTGTAACCACCTTTGTCATTTTTTTAGGTGTACTCGGGATTGACTCTTTTACTTCCCCTTTTGTCACAATATACTGCCTGAACCAGATCTTGCCTCTGCTTTCCCCTTGTTGCCAGAACTGTTTTGTTGGGGTTTTTTTTTGCTGTGCCATCATCTATAAAATTCTTTCTCTGTTGTGGTTTGATTATCACAAACATCTATGCTTCTTCAGCCTTAGGGACACTGGGGGCTAACATGACCATCTGCTTGAGGATGTTTTTTGCTTTTGGAAAGGCTCAGATACGCAGGGAAACTTTTTCTGGGCAGGGGAAGCTGTTCCAGAGCATTTCTTGGTGCTGTTAATTCTGCACGTGTCTCCAGCTAATGGCTCTGTCAGCAGAGTGACCCTCAGTGGTTTAGCTGAGTCTTTAAGTGCACTCCAGCCCTGCTCTGCAAAGAGGGACCCCTCGTAAGTAGAGCTTTCCTCGTGCTGGCTCTTTAGACTTATCACAGAGAGGACAGCCTAGAAGAGCCCAGCTGAGTGTGCCTGGGACGAGGAAGGCTGCCTAGCCCAGAGATCTGCTCCAAACAACTGACTGCCTTGGACCCTTTCCGAAAAAGGCTCTGCAGACACGTATTCCTTCAGTGAACTACCAGAGGTGGAGGCACACTGCCAGAAGAGCCAGCTGCGTTTGGGATTAGATGGCTGGAAAGAAGTCCTTTCTCTGTCTTCAAAACAAGATCACTTTTTAACATCTGCTGCTTCAGAGAGTTCTTGTGACTCAGGGTTCCACAAGAAACTGTTCTCCTCCTTCTTTTTCCTGTTACTTTTTCTTTCTAATTAAGGTTATTTTCCTTCCCTTTCCTCACCTATTGTGTCTCCAAATATGTTTCCTACTGGACAGGAGTGGGGAGGGGAAGGGGGTGTCTTTTTTCTCTCCCTTTAGTGGGGTTTTTTTTTGTCTCTTGAAGTCTCGTGATAACAGCAGCAATTTTGCTCTCTCCAAGGTGAGCACACCCCAGATAACCTGGCAAGATCTGCCTGCACTCACGAAATTGCTTGGAGAAAAGACTTCCTCACTAAGCCTTTGGTTTATTGTTATTTCAGTGCTGAATGAATGATGAGAAGGTTTAAGTAAACAGATGGGTTTGATTCAAGCCCATCATACCACGGGTGTGGGGGGAGAGGAGCTGCTTGTCCTGACAGCTCATCTCATTAGACCACACGTGGTGTGAGGTGTTGAAAGCAGTTTATCACGTGTAATGCCTGGGCACGATGAGGTGAGCTGGGGATCAAGTGTATCTCTGCCCCCCCCCCCCCCCCTTCCTAATTCTTGATATTTGCAAAGGTTTCCTGTGGTTCTCAGGTGCGTGCAAACTAAATATGTGTGGCTCTGTGTGTTTGAAGTTACGTTACAAAAATCACCTCTTTCCTCTGTTTCTTCCACAGTCTCAGCTGCCGGAGATGTATTATTGTGGGAAATGGTGGAGTACTTGCAAATAAATCATTGGGGTTAAAAATTGATGACTATGATGTTGTTGTCAGGTGAGTCTTTGGCATTATAGTTTTCTTGTCATCTCTTCAGTTTCTGTATCAGTTCACTTGCTATGCAGGCAGCCTCTAACCTGTACCAGTGACAGTGTCCATTTGTATGAAAACATTAACTTATATGGAGGGGGAGAAAAGACAAGAGCATATAAATGTTTGTTATAAATGGTGTTCACATCAAAGGGTAAAGGCACTCCTCAAACATTCCATTTTCCACCGCTGTTTGGGAATGTGGTCTCTCATGTGATCCTGCTTGAACCTTCTCTTCGTAGCTCCTTTCTAAAAGCTGCTGCTTTTTGTGATGCCCTTAGGTGGTGAAGCAGTAACTCAAACTGTTGGATCTGCTCCCAGATGTATCCCCTGGGTAGCTCAGGGGAGTATTACTGGTCGTACATGTGTAGCGTTCCCCAGGAACTGCACTTCACAGCTAGGATGGGAAGGGCTAAGAGTGATGCAACATGGGATGTTAGGGGGCAGAAAGCCTCTATGAGTGAGGACCCAGTGATTACAGGCGCCCTAAAAACTGAGAAGACTTTGCCTCTGTTCACTGCAGATGACAATGTTGAATAAGGGAGCAGAAGCAGAGTGGTGTAGGAGGGGAAAGGACCACAGGCAAAGTCAGGACTTCTTGCTTTGGCTGAGGAGCTGGATCATCGCCATCTCAGAATGCTTGAAAAACGTGCTGATATGTGAAATCACAGGTCTAGTCATAACTCTTAGTAATAAATCTGTCAAGTCAGGGAGGCGTTCTGGGTGACTGGAGATTAACAAACATAATACCTGTACTAATGGAGACTGAGAGAGAGAGTGTGTGTAGGAGGGAGGGGGGGGATGTGCTCTAGGGAGATACAGACCCATTAGTCTGACTTGAAAAAAAAAAAAAAAAGCAGGGCTTTCCAGCAGGTTTTGGATCCTGAGTAAAAAAATATTACAATGGTAAATAGGAAAAGTGGGATAAACTGCAGTGTAAGTTTATAAAAACTGGTTTAACGTAGTCTAAGTCGGCATTTTTTGTCTTAATGAGATAACTGATTTCATGTTAAAGGAAATGTATCCGATATCATCTCTCTGAATTTCAGTCAACTGTGAGATGTGGTGGCAAATAGCAAATTCTTAGCTAAGGTGGAAGAAAGGAAGGGATTAGTAAAAGAATTTAAGTCAGGTATCGTTTAGCATGGTCTGTGTTCTCTCCTGTGTGCCAGTAATGGGCACATGAGGAAAGAACAGAACATACAGAGAGTAATAAATATCCTCTAACTCTGGGCAAAAAGACAAAGAAGACAGACCCCTTTTAGTCTTTTGTTCCTGTGAATGGTTCCCTGGTTCTCCCATCAGTGTGCTGGACACAAGGATGGCTGTTCAGAACAGGACAAAATTTTTACGACGCTTTCCCTAGTCTCACTATCAGTTCTTAGCAAAGAGCTCTTACTACTCGTCATAGACGGGTGACTTGTAGTTATTTGAGCTGAATTAAAAGCAGTTACAGTCTTTTCTCGGGTTCAAAATGTCCAAAAAAGTGGCTAAAGAATGGTTTCAATCCATCTGGACTAAGCCACCCACTAAGATTTACATCAGAAAGTCCACTATTTAATTTCCAAATGAAAAGTTCAACTTCTTCCTCTCCACATCAGTAAATCTAAGTCAGTTTGCAAGCTGGGAGGATAAGAGGGCAGCCGAGCACCTGTGCTGTTTGTGGGGCAGATAAAGAGGAGAGAAGTCAACTGTAAAGGTTAAATGAAGCCAGGTGCTTGGATGTGTATCCAACTGCTTGCTTTACTCCTGTGGAAGCTGAGGAGGTCCCTTGTATTGCAGCATCCTTTTTCACAGGTTGCAAAACTCCTTTGAAGGATCATATTTGGGACAAAGGAAGTGATTTTTAAGGGGAAAATGTGGTACATTTGTGGACAAAGAAGCGATCGAGCAGTACGTGGAGTTTTTTGATGCCCATGTGAGGATTGCTAATTGCAGCGATAAATTTTGTTCTTGCGGTGAACATCACCCAGTCAGTTTTGCCAGTTCTAAAACAGCTTGGAGTGAGTTGGTTACTGTTTTTCCTTAACTAGATATTATCAGATTTCAGTGCAGATGTTATTCCCAGCTGTGACACTGTTTACCTGGCAGGAGCTTCTTGCAGCAGTCAGTCATCAGTATTCTGAAATGCTTCCTTGGAGACAGGGCAAAAACAAGTCTGTATCAGAAAGTCTTGATCAGAACAACACAGGGATTCACCTGATCATGATACTTTAGTGGTAGAATCTTCATGGTGCCACGATTAGGAGTTAGTGTCTCATAGCAGGCACAGACTTAAAAACACTCTGAAACTTCTTACGTGAGAAAACTGCCCATCCATGGGCAGTACGATCAGGCCTGACATCCTAACCTGGGTTTTTCAAGATTTAGCTGTGTTTATAACCACCAGTGTGTCTTGCCTGAGAAGGGGTTCGAGCCGTGCAGCATCACCTTGGTGAACACAGGCTGGGGCTGCCAGAGCTTCGCTCCATTGCCCACACTTTCTTCACACAGTACTTTGTAATATTTGCCTCTGTTTCCTTTACTTTATGTGAGGTCATCTACCCCAAAGACACACAACACCCTAAAGTTTAAATAATGCCCATAAAAAGAGCGGGTGATGTGTGAATGTTCCATCAGCAGCAGAGGAAAGGCAGGGGATCAGGCTGGCAGGGATCACTGTTACTGCAGGTAGTCAGGTCTAGCTACCTCAAAGCGAGGGTTTTTTAAACCATGGAAAAAGACTTCATCTGCTGTATAAATTGTGGTGGTGCTGATTCTTAATTTGCTTTCCCTCCGATATTTTATTCCTAATGATAAAGCAAGTATTTTTACTAAAAGCGCATGGGACTTTATTCCTCTAAAATTTGAATATAGTTTCAGATTTTACGCAGAGATTTTCTTCTACTAAAAAGTTTCCAATGTGAAATGCTTACCCAGGCTGAAAAAGACAAATCCAGATACTCATTAACATTCCTGCACGGCAAAATTTGCAGTCCATAAGCACTTTCCAGTATATTGAACTACACCAAGTCAAGAATGCTGCAATAATTCAAGCAGGCAATGCTGTTCCATCAGGGGCTGCTATTTGATGTCAGCAAGATTTGTATTCCAAGTTACTTGAAACTTCCTCAGCTTTGGGTTTCTAGTTTTGAATAGAAGTTTTGAATAATGTCATGAAAGCCATCGCTGCGGTTCATGCCAAAGCAGTTTGTTTTAACAGAAGTGCAGCTAAATACACAGCCCAGCCTCCTCCTTTGTGCTGCCACTGCAGGGCAGCTCACCCTCCAGATGGGCCAGTTTGGGGAATTAAGCCCAGGAGATTGTTCCCTTGGTTTTGATTTTTTTTTTTTGAGAATTATATCCCTAAACAGCCTCACTGCAGGTAAAATGAGCAGTGTAAGCTCTGGACTGGGGTTGGAGCACGAGACCAGGTTCAGCTCTTTTAAAACTGATGTGGAGCTGCATCATCTCTTTCAGCACAGTCTTAAAGAATCCAAGGGACACATCACAGGAGCAGTGGGATGTTAAAACATTAATGCTTAGTTTGTAACTCTAAATTTGCAAAGACAATTTTTTTTTTCAGTTTCCTTTTCCAAAGCTTCCAGTTCAGTGTAAATCCCAATAGTGGATACGCAGAAATGGTTTGTGTTATATTCAATTATCTATTTTAAATGGCTTCTAATTAAACTGTCGTCACAGTTGGTATAAACCTTCATAAAATGTTTGTGATGGAGAACTGGAAGAGGTAACATTTGCTGCTCTGACAGCTGCTACGGGGAATTCTTGCCCAGCAGTGATTGCTGTGTCATCAACACCCTTGAGTGTAAGTGGGAATCCGTGACAGTGTCTTCTCTGGTTGCCCTGCAGGCTGAACTCAGCTCCAGTGAAGGGCTTTGAAAAGGATGTGGGTGGCAAGACAACACTCCGGATCACATATCCTGAAGGTGCAATCCAGAAAATGGAGCAGTACGAGAAGGATTCCCTGTTTGTTCTGGCAGGATTCAAATGGCAGGATTTCAAGTGGCTGAAATACATTGTTTACAAGGAGAAAGTGGTAAGAACACTTGTCAGCTGACACTGTTGAAGGTCACCTAATTCCTAATGGTGGGCAGATGTGATATCACCATCCTGTTTGCCATGTTTTGGTCTGAGGAGAATTCCTGTGTGTGTGTCCTGCTGCATTTAAGTGAAGACTTTCTTTACCTCCATGAGCTGCAGCTTTAATTATGTTTTACAAAGACATCTCTCTGTAACCTGACCTTGCATCACAGGTGAGGCTTTCTATTCAAGATTTTGTTGGTGTGCACTAGGAACAATGAATTTAATTTTTATTTATTTTAAAGGGTACTTAAAAGGACCAGCTCTTGCGTGGATTTTATGGTCTCTTAGGATTTAGGAGCAGAGGAATGAAAACAGCAATGGCAAGGGGAAGAAGTGGGAGTTTGGGGACAAGGATGTGATGACACAGGAGGGGAGGAGGAGACAACACAGCGCAAATTGTTGAGAAGGCTACAAGCAGACTTAATGTGACCTCCTGAATAGCACAAGCCATTATATTTTGCTCAGTTACTGAGATTCATGGTGTCTGATTGAAGTATCATCCAGGACAACAGTATCAAGTCTAATTTTAAAACACTGAAATGATGAATACTCGGTTTTCCCCATGTAGATATTTTGCCCCCATTGATTGCATTAGTGCTCTTCTGAAGTACGACAGAACTGTTAATAGTCAGGTTGTTCTCTGTAATTCACCCCTCCTGAACGGAATCAGCTTGTGATCAAGGACTTCTCATTCAGTGGATGATTTGTCTTTATCTGCTGGTCACGACATCCAGAATAAATGCACTCTGTTTGGGTATAGTTCTCATTTTACATATCTTATATACCTGTTTTCAAATGTTGCTTTAATGACTTTTCAGCAAGTAACGAGACAAATGGATTAGCATTCGGAGGATGGCATATTGTATCGTGTTTGGAGACAGGGAGAGGAGGTTGGCAGCTCACCACGTACAGAATGGAGCAGTCTGGGAGTATAATTGCACATGGTTGTTACAGAGATGGCCTTAAGGGCTCATACTTTGCTCTTGTCTCATACTGGCACCAACTTGCAATTATTTTCCTGGTACCAGACGGATGAAGTTACCTGTCAGCCTCTGGGCAAGCACCAGTGGGCTTTCGTAACATGAATAATTGAGTCAAAAGTAATTTTCTTTGCTTTATTGTCAGGCTCTTCTTCCTCATTCAGGGGAAGGGAAAACCCTGACACTGTCAGTGCCCTGCAACCTGAACGCAGCTGCAGGGACTCGTGGTGTTTAGCTTGAAGCTCAAAGGATGGGTTGGTTTACTTGAAAACAAATTGAATTTCCACCTGATGCTTGCAGTCAAGTGGTCACCACTAGGTTCTAATGTGGTTTTCCCCTGCTCTTAGAAAGATGCAGCAAATTGTCTGTTAAAACTTGCTGGAAGGCCGAGGAGAGTTGATTGCAGTTGTTTGAACTGAGTGCTTCAGTGCCCAGCTTGGCAGAGAGCAAAAGGAACTGGAGCTTCTTGCATTGCATGTTACTTCAGTGCTCTTGTGATTGGCTCCTTATCCTTCATTTCTTCAGAATAAATGCACTCCTTTTTTTCAGTTCTTTTAGGTGATGTTTTCCAGATCTCTTTAATTCCTGTTGCTCTTTTGAATGCCTGCTGTTAATTCATCTTTTCCTTAAGGAGCAGTGCCCAAAAATGTACAGACTACAGCAAAAAGGGAGAAGCAAACAGCTGCATCACTAGCCTCACAGTTCTCATTCTTTATACATTTACTGTTTTGGCCTTTTCCACAGTGACATGGGAACTGAGTGTTGGGTTCCTTGAGACTCCAGGTCTCAGGAAGAATTGAAGAGCAACCACCTCCCCAACTCAGCACCCTGTGCTTGTGCCGTTGGCTCCTCCTGTCAGAGAGCAGCACTGTGCACTTGTCCCCAACAATTCTTTCTTCCTGAACTCTTCTCCAGTTTGCCAAGTTCCTTTGGCAGAGCTTCCCAGCATACCTGCCATTCTTTCCAGATCCATGTCCTCTGCAGTTTAATAAACGTACTTTTTACTCCATCATCCAGGTTAGTAATGAAAGCACTAAACAAAGTTGGTTCCTAGGCAGAACCCAAAGTAGTAACATCCTCCCGTTTCTCCACTGAGCCCACTGAGAACTCATCCTTGGTAGTTCTTTGGCCACTTCTGAACTTGTATCACAGTAGTATCCTTAATAACAGTTTCGGCATGTTTGTGAAAGTGATCTGTCAGAAGCTTTAGTGAATACCAGTTACATGCCTTCCTTCTCCCCAGTGATAATTTTTCTTCTGTATAAAGAATTTTTTTTAAAAAATAATTTGCTCTTGACAAATCCTCATGGGTTGCTACCCAGTCTTTGTTATTTTGTTCAGGTGCTTACAAATAATTAATCCTGCTATTCTGGGAATTGAAATCATAAATCAGCTCTCTTCCCTTTTTTGCCTTTTTAGGCTAGGCACTGCTTTTGTCCATCTTTCAATCCTTTGACAATCCTACCTTGTTCTACACAAGTTCCCAAAGGGAATCACTAGTGGTTTTTGAGGCTGCTGAGCCACTTCATTGAATACTTTAGGATACTGCCCAAGGGACTGGAAAGCATCTGTCTTGTGCTCTCTAGTCTGATCTCTCTCTATTTGAGGCTGAGATCTTGCTGTCGCTGGCTTTAGCTGCGAGCAGGTGGGTGGCACAGCTGCTTTTTCTGGAGGAAACTGATGCAGAAAGGGCTGTCTCTTAGATGAAATGGCCCAATGGAGAACGGGCAGGGCTACGGGAATAGCACATAGGTGTCTGTTCTGGTAGTGAGTGTTAGCATTTTTTTATCAGTGTGTGGTAAGTTCAAGATGACAAAAGCCTATCCAGTGCTCTCTGTGGAGAGTTTGTTTCTCTCAGCTGATATTTCAGAGAAAAGGGAGTTTCTTCCTTTCCTGGGTTCATCTAGAGGCACTTGCTTGACCTGAGAGGTCTGGTGTGCCACTGTTGCTTATTCCTTATCTGACGTGTTCCTCTGCAAGATTTCATCCCTGCTGCAAACCAGTGATTACAGTCAGGAGCCTGACTCAGGATGGAGAAAAAAAAATAAAAATGGAAGCATCCTGCTAAAAAACACAACTGCTTGGAAGTGGACATATTCCTCAAAAAAAAAAAAAAGTAGGCTGATCTCTGCCCTCTGACATTTCCTTTGCCCGTGACTGTTGATAGAGACTGTCCATGGCACAGTCACAGGTGGGTAGGAGACTTCCTGAATTCCTCCAGACACTTGGAGCTGCTTGGACCTGCTTGACCAGAGATTCTGGGCCAGGTACTTGGATCCTTGGCTTAGCCCTCTCTTAAGTGAAATCAAAGGGAGTTTGTCTGAGAAAGAGTAAATGAAAGGCGAGTGGCTATTTATTGCTGGGTCAGTGGTCAGATAAGCTTATTCTCCCTGCAGCTGAGAGGGATTTGCTCTGTGTTATGTTAGTCTTTTGGCAGCACTTGCATACTGAGAAAGGGGTAAGTGCTTTGTAGAGAGAAGGATTTTCTGGAGATGTTGCGAGGAAAAAGAATCAGTGTAGTGAAGAAGCACCAGCAGAGCAGAGAGGCAGGGGATTTTATGTGTTACACAGTCTGGTATAATGGCCTCCCAGAGATCTGTGTGATGGAGATACTCTATCCGGAAACCAGAGCAGTGGAATATGGACCAAAGAAAAAGCAAAAGCTCAGCTGCTTTTTATTTCCCAGTAAAACAGGAATATCTGGAAGCAAGTAAAAACTTGAGAGAAAACATTATTCTAGAAAAAAGGACAGGTTTGGCTAAATATTCAGCAGCAGCAGTGAAACAAAGGTAGTCTCCATTGTAGAGTTCTGGCTGAGCTGACAGTCCAAATTGTCATTGCAGGAAGTTACAGCAGTACTGTATCACCAGAGAGTGCACAGCTGCCTTTAAGAAGGGGAAGGGTGAGTGAATCTGAGCGACTAAAACCCTGGTAATCTGATTTCAGTCATTTGACAAGCATTAGAATAAACTGAAGGAGAGAATAATTGCACCGGTTGCGACTAAAAGGAGTCTGGGATGGAGAAAAGGTGACATGGTTAGCAGAGGGGAGTATTGCACCATGCTGACCTAATATGTCACTGTGCAAGTGGAAAGGACGTGAGTTGGAGTCCCACAGCCTGCAATCTCATGAGCTCATGGATGCTGCAGATCTCATGAGCTCATGGATGTTGCAGAAGGGTCACAGATGTGGGTTGTTCGTGCGTCTGCGGTGACTGGTCTGGCAGTGCTGCCTTGGAGTCATTGCTGCAAGAGCCTGCTGACACTGCCAGGCACCCTGATGAAATGACTGCTGCCAGTGCATCCCCAGAGAGGGGCAAGCCTCTCAGAACAGTTGCACTTTCTCCTGGACTGTTCTTTTTGCCAAGAGACGTTACCTGTGTTGTGATCCACCCTGCTGCTTCCCACTTCTTGTACCCCTCCTGCATCACCCTGGGTCTTCTGAGTACCCAGAGCACCAGTGGAATTACAGGGGGAGGGAGATTTGGTCATATATTGCTCTTAAAAAAGTTTCTCTGATGCATGGAGAGTAGATGCTTCCTGAAAAAAAAAACTGGGAATTTACAAGCTCCAGCTATGCAAACCAGCCATCTCAGCCTGGTGCTGAGGCCAATTCCAGGGTGGTTTCTTGCCCATCGTTAGTGAATCAGAAGGAGCTCTCTTGCTTGCTAGGGCTCACTTCCCTGAACATCTGGCACACGGCGGTAAAGCAGCCAAGTGAGGGCAAAGGTGTCACTGGAAATTGGCAGCTCACAGGCTTCCTCCTCGTGTAATAATGAGCCTGCGGATGATTCCGGCGGGAATCTCTGCGGCCTCTGCCAGGAGGAGTCACTTGTGCAGTAAAGCCCCTGCGGCACCTCCAAATTCTCTTTGATAGTGAAAGTCATAGGAGCAAGTGAGCACCTGCCTGCCAGCGTGGCCAGGCTGGGTTGTCTGTCCCTTGCAGGGGCTTGTCTTTGACAGCTTGCTCACCA